TAGAATAGAATAGAATAGAATAGAATAGAATAGAATAGAATAGAATAGAATAGAATAGAATAGAATAGAATAGAATAGAATAGAATAGAAGCTGGAACAGACCTTGGGGGTCTTCTAGTCCAACTCCCTGATTAGGAAGGAAACCTTATAGCATTTCAGACAAATGGTTCTCCAATCTCTTCTTTAAAACTTTCAACGTTGGGGCATTTACAACTTCTAGAGGCAAGTTGTCCACTGGTTAATTGTTCTAACTCTCAGGAAATTACTTCTTAGTTCTAAGTTGTTTTTTCCTTGATTAGTTTTCATCCATTGCTTCTTGTCCTGCCCTCAGATGGATAGTTTGATCTCCTCTTCTTTGTGGCAGCCCCTGAGACAGTGGACCCCTACTATCATGTCACCCGCTGCTTCTTTTCCTCAAACTAGACACACCCAGTTCCAGCAACTGTTCATCATATGTTTTAGCCTCCAGTCCCCTAATCCACTTTGTTGCTCTTCTCGGCACACTTTCTAGAGTCTCAACATCTTTTTTTGATATCATGGCAACCAAAACTGGATGCGGGATTCCAAGTGTGGCCTTACCGAGGCATTATAAAGTGGTATTCCTAACACTTCATGTAATCTTGATTCTGTCCCTCTGTTTATGCAGCCTAGGACTGTGTTGGCTTTTTTGGCAGCTGCGCACACTATTGGCATGTGACCATGGAGAGGTTGTGGTGGTTGTAAGAGGATTGGTTGTCACTTTTTTTAGTGCCATTATACATTCAAATGGTTGTAAGTCAAGGATTACCTATACGGAGATCAATCTCAGTTGAAATTCTCTTCAAAAGGAACACATTGTACTTGTGTAGGAAGCTTTATCCTTTCTGCAACCCCTTTTTCCTGGTTTTTTTCAGAGCAGCACTGAAAAAATATTACCAGCTCCCTCCCCTCTCTGAAGTGATACGGTCCAGTCAGTGAAGTTGCAGGTCATGTTCAAACACCTGAAAAGGTCAGAGTGACTTCAGCTGGATCCTCTGAGCAAGACCTGGCTTGTTCCAAGCGAATAGGAAAAGTGGGGAGAACAAACTAAATCCTAATTTGTTCATAAACATTCCTGTTGAAATCCAACGCACACCCAAACTATCGCTCAATTAACTCTTGAAGGAAAATGTATAAGAATGTGCTTCTTGTTCCTCAGAACATTTCAAGGTTCTTCAAGGAAAAACCAGAAAGTATATATTTAGATAAGTGTTTCAAATATGTGCTATATGTCAGAAAAGTCATAGGGCTGGTCAAGCTTTTTCTTGTTTCATAACTGCCACAAACACAAGGAAAATGACTGGTATGAATCCCAGAACAACAAACTTACCCGAACATGGAAAGGCCAGTCTTTGGGTTTAAGAAAACGATGGAGAAATGCTAAGTAGATAAAAATCTACTAAGAGGATAGTTGAAATCCGAATTAGTCTATTCATCACACTCCCATTTGAGTTGTGGCATCCCTGCAGCAAGACTGCTATCTTCTAACTTGGTTAATATCATGTGTGAAGCCACGGTTTGCTTAACTATGATCTGTTGAGTAATGTACACAATGTTCTGAACCCTAATCTCTGCACTCCAACCTCAAGCAGTGGGAGTTCACACAAGACAAACCTCATAAATCACAAGATGGCTTGATGACTAGAGTTCCAATCCAGTTAAACACTAAACATACATTTTCATCACATGCTAAGCTTGTTGAGTATTTAGCTCTGTCAGTATGTTGTCTTGACCAAGCTGTTGAGGGGAAAAGATAGCAACAGCACTTAGAATTATATTGTCAAGCCCAAAATTGACATATATACCACTCCACAGTGCTTTACAGCCCTCTCTAAGAGTTTTACAGCATCAGTATATTGCCCCCAACAACCTGGGTCCTCATTTTACCGACTTTGCAAGGTTGGAAGGCTGAGTCAACCTTGAGCCTGGTGAGATTCGAACTGCCAAATTTCAGTTAGCTGGCAGTCAGCAGAGGTAGCCTGCAGTACTGCATTCTGATCCCTGCGCCACCATGGTTCTTATTTGATATTTGCATTTGAGCAGTTCTGATTAATGCACAGATGTATACCTCTATATGGCCACCGTCTTTGGCCTAGGCATGCAAGCATATGACCGTCAACATGTGTAAACCAGGGATGCCCATCTTGGATGTGTGTGAAGTGCCCCTTCTAATAACACACAAATCTTTTACATATTCTTTTTTCTTTTTAATGTAATGTCAGAGACAACCTCCTGTTTTGACCTCCAAACAAACCAAGGGCAAAATAAAAAAGGCCTCTTTTTAGGTTACTCCCAACCTCCAACATCAAAGTGCGCTTCTCCAGGTCCACGGAAAAGGAAAACAAAAAACCGAGAGAACAAAATGAATGCAATTTGAGAAAAAGTTTCTCTCCCCCCCACCTTTCTTCTTAAAAGACATAGCATTATTTGAATTTTTCTTTTTCTTTTCTTTCTTTCCTTCTTCTTCTTCTTCTTCTTCTTCTTTTTTTGCAGTCCTTGCCATGTTTTTAATCTGGAGCTGTAAAGAGTTGTGCAGGGTGGGAAGGGATGGGGCAAAGTAGCGTATTAGCTTTGAACGGCCATTATTTCACACACACACTCACACCCTTAAATAATTTTGAATGTGGAAACATATGCTGCATATTTTTTTTTCTTTTTTCTTTCTTTTTTTTCTTTATAAATGTCTTCACAATGTAAACAATTCAAAGGAAAATAAGAAAGCTGGAGAGAGGGAAAGAGGAAAAAAAAAGAAAACAGGAAAAAGAAAAAAAAAAGAGGGAGGAGTTAAATACACAGTTACCAATAAAACTTTATCCTCCAGTCTAATACACAGTTAACTCCATTTACAGCATGCAGTAATGTGTGTAAGAAGGATCCAGCTGACAAATAGTGTGCTAGAATGCTAACCAAAAAGTACTTTATGTTTTATATGTGTGCGTGTATATATATATATATATATACACACTATATACACACACACACACATACAAGCACAGCATAAAAAGAAAAAAGCATATCAATCAAACTCAACGTATGATGAGCATCAACCTTTGAACTTCCGAACATTATGAAAACAGTGGAAAACTTTCTTCATTTGAACACCCAGAATAAGGAATGAGTTACTCAGTACTGCTGGTGGAGCCCATTGTTTCCATCTCACAATTTCACCTACAAAAGTGTCCATTCTCATCCCAACTGATCACGCAAACCATCATTGACACTGATGCTCCGCAGCCTGTAATCCTAGTTTAGAAGCCCAGTATTCAACTTATTTCATTCCTTCCTTCTTTTTATTTTTTTTGTTGGGTTTTTTTTTTTTTTGTATGTGTACTTTTTTTTAATGAACTAACAGTTCTAGGCTCATATCAGAAAATATAATTAATAAAATTAATAATGAATCAGAATCCCGTAATATCCATGTAGTACATCCACATAGTACAGTGAATTAATGTCTTAACTGTTGTGTGACGGTGGTTTGTTTTCTTGCAGCTGTGCGTGATCTTTTCTTTTTTTTTTTTTAAGGTGATTGTAGTGGGTTGTTTCTCGGTTAGAATTGGCAATCATACGGAGGAGAGCGGAGTCCATGAAGTGGCAAGAATGGATGGAAGAAAGCCATGAGATGTGAGGTGCCAGACAGTTGACCTGGGAAGTGTCCAGATCAGAGATCTGGGATCTCTACAGAAGAGCAACAAAACAACTGTGTCCAAAGGGACAGAATGATCACTCATTAGCCAAATGCACTGATCAATCACCAACAGCTGCATATTTGTCCATGACAAAAAAAAAGGGAATAAAAATGGAAAGAAAACAGAATGCTCCGTTGTGTTGGAACTTCAGTTAGGTCATTGTGAATTCTTCTTGGGTTTTTTTTTCCCCACAGATTTGTTTTCTTTCTCTCCGAGATTTTGTGATAATATATTCTTGACTATTAGGATTAATTTTCTGACTTTGTAAAAGTATTCTTCCTTTTTATTTCCCCCTCCCTTCCTCTTAGAATCACCAACTTCAAAAAGGTCAAAACTTCAGCAGGAGGTGTAAAAGAAGCAGCGGAAGCAGCCAAACACAGCCAACTCTTCTTGACCCACCACTGTTCCCATCATGCACTGCTCCAGGGCCTGAAAGAAGACAGATTGCATAGTGTCACTTAGTGGAACCATAAATCAGCCAAGATGTGAAGGTAATAGGACATTGTTACCAAGTTAACAACAACAACAAAATTGCTACCATGGCTGAATTCAGTCTTTTAATAGGTTATGTCCAGCAAATCACCAAATGTACCTTCTGACCTAATGCAAAATTAAAATTGCCTTGCTAGTTTCACGTCTACATCTAAATTTCCATTGCATGCATAATACTGTATAATGCAATTAAGAAGTACATAGTCTTATCAAACAATTGTTTTTAAGACCAGTCTGAATGTCTCATTTTTTAAATATCTACTCTGAAAGGTACCATCAGATGTTAAAGAAGGGGTGATTTTGTGTGAAGAAAGAACCTTGCCCATATTGGATCCTATAAATATTTAATACATATTTGTAAACAACTAATTGTGAATTAATTTAATATCAATTCATGCTTTACCCCTCAGAAACCTCATCATCTTTTGGGTTGAATTTATATTTTACCGACAAAAGAAATAAAGGGAGACTAGTATGTAGTCCCCCTTTATTTCTTTGTCAGTAAAATATAAATTCAACCCAAAAATAGTTTGTCATGAAAGCAACTGCCTGCGAAGGCTCCTGGATTGGGGCTGAAAGGCGAAAGGTGAAGCAGAATGCTCCGTCCCTGATAGACCAATGTTACCCGGGGGAAAATCCCTTCACCATCATTTGGTGTCCTCAAACAAGAGCTGGTACATCTTACCAGTGTACGACATTGTGCAACAAAGTCTTTGTAGATCCTGAATTTGTGAACTACCCGTGTTTTCCCGAAAATAAGACCCTGTCTTATATACATTTTTTGCCACCAAAAAAGGAACCAGGTCTTATTTTGGGGGAATGTCATCCACTGATTCTCACTTGCACTCATTGCCCCTGGCCTCCTTTTCGCTGTCAGAGGCCTTCAGGAACTTCTTCTTCTGCGGCCAACAAGGCTTTCCAGAAAGCCTCTGCAGCTGATAACAGAGCTCCAGATTTGTTATCAGTGACAGAGGCCTTCAGGAAAGCCTTGCCAGCCTTGCTGGCTGCAAAAGAAATGGGCTGGCAATGCAGGTGTCAGGGTGTGTGATGCCTGGCTACAACTGTCCAAAGGTACATTGTAGGGCAGTTCCACCCCAACATCCCCACCGTAGCTTAATTTTTACCCATGCGCTCTAGAGTGGGTGGGATCTTAATTAGGGCTTATTTGGGGGGATAGGGCTTATATTGGGTGCATGTGTAAAAATCAACATGGGACTTACTTTCAGGGTAGGTCGTATTTTTGGGATGTAATTCCCTTGAGCAAAGCACCATTTAGATAGAGAAAGCGATTTCTATCCATTTATCTATCCCAGGATGTTTATAAAGCTAAAAAGAATGCTACAAGAACCAATCTAGCACTTTGAGTCAAATGTGTATGAGATGGGTCACCCTATAAGCATAATAAGAAAATGAAAGAATAAAATAGAAAATAGCAAGATAATATAAAAAGCCAGTGAGCTTCAAGTATTCCTCTACCAGACCAAGAGTAGATACTAGAACTCTTTGTTGTTGCCTCCATCCCAATCAGATGGACTTTAGGAATGGTTAAAAAAAAAATGAAACAAAGGCGCAGACACAAAATTAAAAGAAATTGGCTAATACGCTCATTTGGAATGGATTCTTTTCGAAAACACATTGTTTCCATATGCCACTATGGGAAAGGAGCTTTTAGATGTCAAATTGATTTTAGACTTTTCTTTCTGAGTGGAAGTGATAATAGCAGAGCTAAAAATGGACACATTCACTGGAGAACTATATTTGGAAGCAGTTCTCGGGTAGAACTTCTGGACATAAAAAGAATGTCGCCTGATCAGGCTAATGTGCTCAGAATTCCTAAACAATGCTTGCCAGAAGGCACATTTAGAATTTTGATTGATGGATTGATGATGTGCCATCAAGTCATTTTTAACTCCTAGTGCGCACACATTTTTTCTCCATGGCGGTCCACTTATCAAGCTTCACAAAAGGTCCAGAATTAGAATATTGAGATTCTGGATATAATGGTTACCACAATAAGACTAGGCCAAGAATGTGTGCATTGGGTTTATTAGGACCCATAGACCCCAATTTGGAACCAATGGAAGACCTGGTTGTCAGAATAGACACCATGCAACTTTGAAAGCCAATATGCATCACAAGAAGCCCATACAATCCATGATACCAAAGCAGAAGAAGATGACTTTCTCTGGAATCACCAATGAATTCATGAACTTTTGCAGTAAGGGACTGTAGCTGGGTTTAAACTTTTGAAGAATAAGTGACAGATTGCAGCTATCAGATTTTCCTTGCAACGTATTTTCTTTTTCCTAGACACAAATAAATCCCACTTTATAACTTACAAATCCAATCTGTTTACACACACAAATACACACAAACACACACAACGGATAACGGATAACGTTGACTGATTTAACAGAGATTGCAGCTTCAACAGCAATGCTGAAAGCTTAGAATTATCTTGACAGCTAAGCTGAATCCTTTGAAATGTTGCAACAAGCACTGGAGGTACCATAAGCCCACAGCTTCTGTGAGGAAGACAATAAGGAACTAATTCCAAAATTGTCATCAGTGGAAGCCAAGAGAACAAAGAAATCTAAGCAACCTTTCCTGGCCTTTTGTGATGACTCCCATCCAATATTAATTCCTTTGTCCTCATTAAGTGGGCAATAATGAAGCCCTAAGGTTATCCCAGAGGAGAAACTCTATTATGCCTTGATTATCTACCTGGAGAATGGGAGAACAAGCAATCAAACGAAGTGAGAAGGCCTGTGCTGGAAATCTCTGCTGAGACATCCACCAAGATGCCCAGTTTAGGACAGACAGAGGATTATTACTGGTGGCTGTGTCACATGGTAATTTTTCTTTTCCTTGGAAGCCTGAGCTACAAATAGCAATAGCACATAGACTTATATACTGCTCCACAGTGCTTTTACAGCTCTCTCTAAGCAGTTTACAGAGTCAGCCTCTTGCCCCCAACAATCTGGGTCCTCATTTTACTGACCTCAGAAGGACAGGAGGCTGAGTCAACCTTGAACTCCTGGAAGTCAGCAGAATTAGCCTGCAACCCTACACTCTAAGCACTGTGCAGGAAGGAAGGAAGGAAGGAAGGAAGGAAGGAAGGAAGGAAGGAAGGAAGGAAGGAAGGAAGGAAGGAAGGAAGGAAGGAAGGAAGGAAGGAAGGAAGGAAGGAAGGAAGGAAGGAAGAGCAATAGCAACAGCCCTTAGACTTATATACTGCTTCACAGTGCTTTACAGCCCTCTCTGAGCAGTTTATAGAGTCAGCCTCTTGCTCCCAACAATCCGGGTCCTCGTTTGACTGCCCTTGGAAGGATGGAAGGTTGAGTCAACCTTGAGTCAGTCAGGATCAAACTCCTGGCTGTGGGCAGAGTTAGCCTTCAATACTTCATTCTAACCACTGTGTCAGTATCTCCCTTTCAGTAAGTTAAACCCACTATATTACATTATGTCCTGTACTCCGAAACAACAGAAGATCCTGTTTAGTGCCTTGCATGAAAATCTTTTAAGAGAGGGAATGCCATATTGTCATCTCCTGATCTTTCTCTTTCTAAAGGACGAGTATTCCCATTTTCAGGTTGTCCCCAAGTTATGACCACAGCTGAGCCCCAAATCCCTGTTGTTAAGGTGAGGCATTTGTTAAGTGAGTTTTGCCCCATTTGGGAAAATGGGTGCTTAGATCTGGCCCATGAGGCCACCCTGGAAACAGTGAAGGACCAGCACATGGTGCTGCCTCTGCCGGCCCTCCTGGGCTCTGTTTTTGATGGCAGAGAGCTGCAGGACATGGAGATGGCCATGCCCGTCCCAGCCACACCCATCCCAGCCACACCCACTTGGCCCCCCAGAGGTCAAACACAACCCCGATGCGGCCTTCAATAAAATCGAGTTTGACACCCCTGTTTTAAATCAACTGCTGTTCCAAAATCTTCTTCTCAATTCCTATTTGCCAAGATAGCTATCCCTCAATTCTACATTCGCGCATTCGAGTTTTCTGAGTGAATATTTTTTTTTTTTGCATTGATCTCCGCTCTTTCAATTATTCAAAGTGATTCTAATGGATGGCACAACAGGAGGTGATGTAAATTGCCGGAATATTACTATGTGAAATGTTGCAGAGGCCGAGACCTTCATGAAGCAAACCAAAAACCACAATTTAATGCTGCTAGAGATTGAACATGACAGACTTCACTTTTTAAATAATAGTAGATCAGAAAGTTTTCTGATGTTCCTCATGTATCACATCATTAACATACAAAAGTTAAAGGAGGCAGGAAGAAGTGCAAAGCATGAGAAAAAAGAGCCCACAGCAAACTGAAACAACACTTGTGTAAAGTCCTCTACAGTGCAGGTACTCCTCAACCTATGGCCAATAATTGGAAGCAACAACCCAGGGGGTTGTTAAGGGAGTCTCACCTGATTTGTATGGGAGTTTTTTGTTTTTTGTTTTGTCTTCCGTTAAGGATATTTGGAGGTTAGAAGCAAAGTGAAGGAATAAAAGGGGCGTCATCAGAATTTTGTGACTGTTTGTTTTGTATCCCACCCTGGGTCATCACACCCAGTGTCTTAACCACTGAGCCACGATACCCCTCTCTTTTGCAGAGTAGCAGGAAAAAAAGTCTTGAGTTTCTTCTCACCAACTGCTGGGAGAAGGGATCCCAAAGAATAATCTAAAACAAATATGTTTGTGTAAAGCTGAACAAACAAGACAAATTGTATATACGAGTGCAAATCTATCATGAAAGCCTCCCAAAATAACTCCACTTAATCCTTATCACGGATGGGCTTTTTCCACTGATGATTACTTACTGCCCTAATTATCCTTCTGTGATGATAAGAGCTTAGTGCGATTCTATGTTTGCTAATAAGGTGATTTGATGATTATTGTGAGATTTGCAGACAGCAATCAGACAAACATTTGTCGT